GGTGCTTCCAATTCGATCGCATCTGAACAAGCACGTCATCGCCAATCGAATGATCCTCGTCTTCCAGATACTCGGTGATAATATCAAACAACTGGTTGAGGTTTTCCTGCAGGAAGGCCAACGCCTGATAAAGCACGTTGGCCTCGGCGCTGTGGCGCGCGGCGGGCACGGATGCGGCGGACACGGGCGAGGACGACGCCTCTGGCGGGAACAGCGAGTTGTGAAATGCACAACTGATTCGAAAGAAGGACGGGTGCAACACATGTACAGGCACTTGGAACTTTAACGGCACGGCCTCCAAACACATTTGATCGTACCACTTCCGCGTGAACACAAACGCGGCGCGGCTAGAGACGGCGCGTTTCGCAGCGGGGGCAGAATCGGCGTCGCGTCGACTCTGCGCGGTGGAAATCATGTCGGCGTCACTGAAGCAAGGCAGCTCCGAGGCCGGTTGAAAGTCGCGAAGAATCAAGTGAGAGAGATCGCGGTGGTAGTGGTTGGCCGCGTTGTCGTCGTCGTCGTCGTCGTCGTCTTCGTCGTCGTCGTCGTCAGAGCCGGATGGGCGTTGAACAAGGGCTTGCGAAACGAACAGCGAGGCTGTTTGCAGCAGCTGCCGAGGGTGGGAGCGGTCATGGAAGGGGGGCGAAGGCGAGGAGCCCTTAAGCAGGGAGGGCGCGGGGCGGGGGTGCGCAAGGGGAGGGGGAGCGGAGGAATCGGAAGGCGACGAAGGTCGCGTAGCGTGAGCCATATGAGTCAAGCTGCGGAGCACGAAGCAGCGGCGCGCGTAGCGGCGCAGGCTCAAACTGCAGCGCACCCTGCGCGCTCGCGCGCGCGCGCGCATGCGCCGCCCATCGCGCGACCGACACACAACGCACGTCACGCGCGCGTGCGCGCGCCGCACGCTCTCACAGCTGTACGCGCTGGCACGCGTGTACACGTACGTTCTTTTACGTGGCCACGGGTCACAGCTCACCCCCGCAGCTGCTCCAGCAGCCGTTCCGTCTCAATGAAGTTGGTGTAGATCTCCTCGCCCTTCACAAAGGTGTCGTTCTCCACCACGCGCAAGTGAAACGCTATAGTAGTCGGAACCCCCTGCACCGCCGTCTCATTCAACGCGCGCTTAAGGCGCTGAATCGCCTCCCTCCTAGTCGGCGCCCACACAATGAGCTTGCCCAAAAGGCTGTCGTAGTTCGGAGGAATTCGCCACCCAGTAAACACCTGCCCGTCCCAACGCACCCCGATTCCGCCCGGCGGCAGAAAGCCCGTCACCTTTCCCGGCATCGGTCGGAAGTTATGCGCAGGGTCTTCAGCATTGATTCGAGCTTCAATCGCATGTCCGTTCAAACAAATGTCCTTTTGTTCGAACGCCAACTCATGTCCCTCTGCCACTCGAATCTGCTGTTGAATCAAGTCCACGCCGGTGATAGCCTCCGTCACCGGATGCTCCACCTGAATTCTCGTGTTCATCTCCATAAAGTAAAACTGCCCGTCGCGATCCAACAAGAACTCCACCGTGCCCGCGCCGCGGTATCCAATCGCCTTTGCCGCATCCACGGCCGCCTTTCCCATCCTCTCCCGCAAATCTTCGTTGAGCGCCGGCGAAGGCGCCTCCTCGATAAGCTTCTGGTTACGTCGCTGCACCGAGCAATCGCGCTCTCCCAGGTGCACACAGTTTCCGTAGTTGTCTGCCAGCACCTGAATTTCCACATGTCTCGGCGCCTGCACGTAGCGTTCCATGTACAAGCCACCGTCTGAAAAGGCGGCCTGCGCCTCTGCTGAGCAAGTCTTGAACGCGTTTTGAAGCTCGCCTTCGGCGTTGACGATCTTGATGCCGCGGCCACCGCCGCCAGCTGTGGCCTTGAGCATCAACGGATATCCAAGTTGCGTTGCAAGTTGTATCGCTTCTTGCACGGAGGCAAGCACACCGCGACTACCGGGCACGCACGGCACACCCGCCTCAAGCATGGTTTCCTTTGCCGTGGCCTTGTCTCCCATTTTGGAGATTGCGTTTGGGCTCGGGCCGACAAATCGCAGGCCATGCGCGGCACAAATATCGGCAAATTCAGCGTTCTCGCTTAGGAAACCGTAGCCCGGATGGACGGCATCGGCGCCGGTGACGGCGGCGGCGGCGAGAATGTTGGGGACGCAAAGGTAGGAAGTGGCGGATGGAGCGTCTCCGATACATATGGCTTGATCGGCCAAGGAGACGTGAAGGGCGTCGCGATCGGCCTGTGAGTAGACGGCCACGGAGGGTATGGCGAGCTCTGCACAGGCGCGAATGACGCGGATGGCGATCTCGCCGCGGTTGGCGATGAGGAGCTTTTTGATGGGTTTTTGCTGCACTGTGGCGGGTTGAGAGGTGGTGGGGGCGGCGGGGGCGACCATGTTGAGGGGCGGGTGGAGGGGACGACGGGCGGGTGGGTGGACATTGTGGGAGGGGGGACGACGCGGGGTGGTGAAGGCGGAGGTGGCGGGGGAGGTGGGAACGGGGAGCGGAACGGCGAAGGCGGGCGCCATGGTGACGGACGGTTGTGGGCGGTGGCGAGGAGGAGTTGAGCGGATGAAGATGGGTAGTGTAACTTCGGTAGGGTACCTGTAGAGGTAGGGTGAGATCGGGCGGCGGCAGCGAGATCGCATCTCAGATCCGGTTGGGATGATCGGCGTTCTGGCAGCTTCCACGGGCGGCGGCCATTGGACGGAGCCATTGGAGGGAGTAAGAGGGAGAACAAAGGACAGAGCGGATGGCTGTGGCGGCTTAAAGCCTTTTGTGTGCGGTGGTGCAAAAGGGTTAAGCCCTTTTCGCGCGCTGTGCGGGGTGCGCGCGGCGCGGCGGCCATTGGACGGAGCCATTGGAGGGAGTAAGAGGGAGAACAAAGGACAGAGCGGATGGCTGTGGCGGCTTAAAGCCTTTTTGTATGTGGTGGTGCAAAAGGGTTAAGCGCACGGCGCGGCGGAATGACTGCAGCCGCGCCATGACGGCTCAGATACGCAGCGCGTGGCTCGGACAAAATCGGCCAAAATATCTTTGGATGCGACGTGTGGGGCGTTTCCCGTTCCCATTTACCCTGCCGCCCGTCTGCTCACATGTGCTCCCCCCCGCCGCACCCTCTTAAGCGCGCATCCCCCCATCCCCCCACCCCCCTCCCCGTCTCCCTCCCCGTCTCCCTCCCCGCCCGGCCGCCGCGCACCGCCGTCGCCGCTGCCCGCAAAATATTCAAGGAACGATGCTTGCCTTTGCGTATGGCGCTGTGCCGTCTTCAACGCTCTCGTCTCGCTGTGCCCTCCCCATCACCTCGTCCGCCTCCGCACCTTCCACAGCCCGCCCCGCCCGCCGTCGCAACCCCTCCCATCGCCACCGCACCACCACTCGAGTCTCCGTCGCCGCCCCACGCGCCCCGCCCCCTCCACCCCCGCCATCCCCGCCACCCCCCTACATGCCATTCCCACCGCCCTCTCTCCTCGAGCCCTCCCTCCGCCCATCCGCCGCACCCACACAACGGCCGTCGTCCACCGACCAACCCGCGCGCCCACTAACGCTACACGCTGCAAACCGCCGTCTCAAGTCGCTCTCCAAACGCCCCAAGTCGCTGCAAACCTGCCTGGCCGTATTCGACCAACTGCACCAACAGCGCATCACCCCGGACAAGTATACCTACAGTTTGCTGTTAACGGCCTGCGCGAGGGCGGGCGCCACGAACGAGGCAATGCGTCTTTACCAACTCTTGCAGCAACAGCGCGTTCCGTTGGACAATCATTTGCGCGTGAATTTACTCACCGTCATCGCGCGCTCAAAACAACCGCACGTTCCGCTCGCGCTGCGCATATTCTCATCGTCGCCAACGCGCTCCACCGCCTTGTGCAACGTGCTCATCGACGTGTTCGTCGCCACGCACAATGCGCACGCTGCGCAAGCGGTGCATCGCTACATGACAGGCGCGTCGATACCGCCCGATGCGTACACGGTGTCGGCGTTGATTCGCGCCCATGTGGCCACAGGCGGGCCGTACAAAGCGTTGACGGCGTTGAGAGATATGTGGAAATGTGGACTTTCGGTGCACTCGTCCGCGTTCGGACAGGTGATATCGGCGTTTGGACGCATTGGACACGTTGATCAGGCAGTGGCTCTGTTTGATGAAATGACCGTGTTTGGCGTTTCGCCCACGCAGAATACGTTCAACATCTTGATTGCGGCTTGCGAGGGGCGCGATAGTGAGAAGGCGTTTGAGATTTTTGAAGAGATGATTGCTACGACCGCGTTCAAGGGCGATCGATATACATACCACGCGCTTATCAAGTGCGCGCTGTCGCAGCGCGACACGGCGCGCGTGAGGGAGCTTTACGCGCGGATTAAACAGAGCAGGTTTCAGCCGAACCAGGTGAGCTATCGAATGGCGCTTGACGCGGCGGGGATGGGAATGGACCTGGACTTTGTGGAACAAATTGTGAGCGATGTGAAGCGAAATGAGTGTGTGTTGAGAATGGATGGTGTGGCCACATTGGTGGCGGCTTGTATACGATGCTCGGACTTGCAGGCGGCTCTTGCTCACTTTTCGGCGTTTGTGAATTGCGGACGGTGTGAGGCGGAGCACGCCTTTTTTGAGGACATTCGACGCGCTTTGAGACGGTTTGATTGCGACTCGGTTTGCGACTCTGGTCACACCAAACGCGTTGTGGATGAACTTGAACGAAGTTGGAGACGCGAGGCTTGACTTGGCTTTTTCGCTTGTTGTTGTTGTTGTTGTTGTTGGTGTGAGGCCGTTTTGTAGGTTTGTATCAGTATGAATGTAGTGTTTTTGTTTCCCCTTTTTTGTTTGTGGAGCTTGACTCGAAAGAGATAGAGGAGAGTCGCTCCCGTTGTAAAAGTACGCCGTGGTAAACAAAACAGGACTTGTATGGTAACAGCGGCGCCATGATTGCGAGAACGCTATGAGCTACTCGCGCGTACAAGTGGAAAGGAAAAAAGATGGAGTGAGCAGCGCAGAAGGAGGTTTTCCAGCGAATGCGTCCTATGGGGTTCGAACCCATGCTCACAAACGTGAAGCAGAATGCACCAGTAGATATCCTTGAGTCTGCCGCCTTAACCACTCGGCCAAAGACGCGTCCCTACGCATGCTCTCGGTGGCATCAGGGACCAGCAAATTCGCAATTTATCGCAACAGAAAGGGACACACGTGTACGAAGGGTGGACACGTGTGGGACAATGTTGCACACTATGGACGACGGTCGGCGTACGCCGTCGCGGCGTCGCCCTTTTGATCGCCTTCTATCTTTTGTTTGGCGACGACGCTCGCCGTCCTCTTCTTCGTAGCCGCTGTCCGAGCTGCTTGGCCCCTCCGTCTTCATCGCAGCCTTGTAGCCCCTTTCGTTCTCAACATGGTATGTTCATTCAATGCCCCCCCCCCCCCAATGCGACTGACTCCGAACCGCGTCAACGCTCCCGATCTCTCGTTTCGATCGATACTCGCCACCGCTGCACCGCGCAGTCGCCATCGATACATCCCGTATCTTGCATAACCACCCCCCCCCCAATCTGCGCGCAGCCCACTGACACCTTTTGCAAACAATCACCAATGCACCCCTGCGACCGCGCGAACACAGGCCGTCGGCAAGAACAAGCGTCTGTCCAAGAAGGGCAAAGGATCGCGCAAGAAGATCATGGACCCGTTTCTGAAAAAGGAGTGGTACGACATCAAAGCGCCCTCAATCTTCAACGTGCGTCAGGTCGGTAAAACGCTCGTATCCCGCACCCAAGGCACCAGGATTGCCTCGGAAGCGCTCAAGGGGCGTATTTACGAAGTCATTCTGGCCGATCTGCAAAAATCTGAGGACATGGCCTACCGCAAGATCCGCCTGAAGTGCGAGGAGGTGCAGGGCCGCTCGTGTCTTACCAATTTCCACGGCATGGATCTCACGCGCGATAAGTTGTGCTCGCTTGTTAGAAAGTGGCAAACTATCATTGAGGCCCATGTCGATGTGAAAACCACTGATGGCTACTTGCTTCGAATTTTCGCCATTGGCTTCACGAAGCGTAGGGACGGGCAGGTCAAGAAGACCACCTACGCGCAGAGCAGTCAGATTCGCGAGATTCGTGCCAAGATGGTGGAAATCATGATTCGAGATGCGTCGCAATGTGACCTCAAGGAACTGGTTAGAAAGTTCACGCTCGAGGTTATTGGAAAGGAAATTGTCAAGTCTACCTCCGGAATTTACCCGTTGAGAGATGTGCATATTAGAAAAGTGAAGATTCTCAAGGCGCCCAAGTTTGATATTACCAAGTTGATGGAACTGCATGAGGCGGGTGGCGCTTCGGAAGACGTTGGTGCCCCTGTTGAAAGCACCGCTGAGGAACCTGCTGCACCGCAGGAACCTATTCCAGGAGACATTCCGGCCTAATGCTTTCGCAGCTTTTCTGTAAAGCCCTTTTAACCCTCTGGTTGTGCGCCTTTGTGCTTGCTTGTCTTTTGTAGCTTGTGGATGGACGTCTTGTCCAATTCAGCCGGCTATCTAAACTTGCCTCCACCTATTCTTTACTTTTTGCATCCCCGCTTGCATCTTTGCTCAGTATTTCTGGCGTCAGGTTGCGGGTGTAACTCACCGTACCCCTGATCGTCGTGCAAGTCTTGAAATGGGTCTGACCCAACCAACCACCATGACAACTGTTCTACCAAGGTTACCGTAAATCATCATTTAGTCAAGTGCTGCATACTACGCACCTCCAGCGTCATCCCCCCTCAACGAACGCGGCCTTGCAATACAGGGTTGCAAATTATGATACTCCCCGCGCAAACCAGGGGTACACCGCTACGAACGGTAGGTTGCTACCGCTAATCCTTTACCATACTATACATAAGAAGTTACTGCCCCAATTCATTACCATCTGTTTGCGCCTAAGCAGCGCATCTTTCAACGCTGATTGGCTCCGACCTCACTCGCACTCATCTTTTTTGAATGCCTCACTTCTGCTTGCTTGTTGCAGCTTGGGAAGCCACCTACCGTTGGTAAATATTGGAGTTGTTTCGAAACATGGCCTTTCTCACCCCAAAATCATCTTCTTGTCAACGTTGTTCGTCCGGAGAAAAGGCTACGAGCACGGCGCACAGACAAAAAGCTGACACGACCAATTCGAAACACAGACTAGCTAGAGATCCAGATCTAGTAGATAAACTTTGCCGTTTTTTGACCATCAAGCACTGCTCAGAAGCAGACGCCGCAGTCGTCCACGGATTCGGCTTGCTCTCACGGCTCACGGGCAGCACGCCAAGGGTCTGCCAGAACGGCGAAACCGGGAATTGTAGTCAAGTCGTAAAGACTTTAGATCCACACGGCTCTTTGTTTCTGTCCATTACTAACGCCGTGGATTACGGAACCTTGATTTAAGTTAGTTCTACTATCATACGCGGCGTCATTGTCAGCGATTACCTGAACATGTGTTTGTACCCTTTGGAGCTCTACCCAGGGGGCAGGCTGAATGTGTTTTCCTATGTGTATAATCAAGACACACGCTTGGCCATACTGCTGTCAGGGGTAACTTCCTCATCAGGTCGCCGGGAAAGCTCTTCGTTCCAGCATTGAGCATCCTGATTCTGCTCCCTTTTCTTATTCTCGTCTTGGTTGCCGGTTTGCTTTGCGGTTTCATGAGATGGGAGACGAGCATCGATTCCTATCGCGCAACCCAACATTGGTCACTTTTCTCTTTTCAATATGTCTACTCATCTGGTGCAACGGAGGGCTGGCCTTCGATCTACCTGCTCTTTCCAGACTTCGTACTGGACTTGGGACTTCCAGACAGCTCAACTCCATACCTCCAGTTGGAATCAGTGTCGTATCACAGAGTGAAACGGACTTCTACTTAATCAATGGAGAATCAGAGGAACTGGTCGCAAACTTCATCTTCATGCCGCCAAGCGATTCGAGCCCAGAGGAATACGTCATGAGTTTTGGGTGTGAATCTGACATCGTACTATTCAATGATTCGTGTTCAATCACGAACACTATTTCCGACATTGTGGGCACGGAAGCCACGGCATACAACACCACTGTCGTATGCACCTTCGAAAGGTTTCCGGCCGAAACTTTTTGTACCCTCACAGCAACATCAGTTGCGAGACAGCTTCAACAGTTTCCTTCTGAGAGCCTACCTGCAAATGTGTATGGGATCGTCTTCTACACTCCTGACCAAGACGGCGGAGTTTCAAAGGACGCTATTATCGTTTCGGGTTATGCGAACACATATGAGCTTGCTTCATATGATCGAGAACTGCAGGGATTACGTGATATCCCATCATATGGGATCTTTCCGGCTGGTACTGCGTACACTGGCTCGGATGGCATATCTTTCCTTGGCTTAGCCACTGTTTCTGTTGTTGTTGATGACTACATATTCAGATACAATGTATCTGAATGTTCCATAACAGGGGCGGCGTTTATTTCCGGAACTCTTGTTTTAGATAACTCAGGCGAATGCGGGCTTGGTATGGCTGTGAGTTCCGAAACCGCCTTTCCCATACTTGGAGCACAGTTTCGGCCATACAAGTCGGGAAAGTTTACATTGCAGCTGAACTGGGACACTATCGGAACCACTGGGGAAGTATATGAACAAGCGATTGTCTTCAGCGTTGTTGAGAGAGCACCTCCAGTAATAACCAGTGTTGAGAAGCAATCTATTTACCAGAGTTTACCGTGCGGCACTGAGACTCTCAATGTAACAGGATTCAACTTCAGACTCAGCGACAAGAGAGAGCTGTTGGCTAGCAATGAAGATGGCACGCTTTCTGTATGGCAAGGGAAACCGGATTCTTTTTTATATGATCAACTAACTGATTCCTCATCATTTGTGCTTGAAAGTGTGGGTGGTGTAGGTCGAAACGTGCCGTTCACAATAAGAGCACTGTACGGCTCCGACTTCGTTGACGCGGTTTACTTACAAGATGACGCATCATCTCTCTTTTCTTTAGACTTCAGCACGCCCCCCGAACTCCTTGGAATCACACCGAATGTATCAGAGCCAGAAGGAGGTTCAAGGATCGTTCTCGTCGGCACATTTGACGGATTCAAGGCAACAAGCGTCATTCGTATTGGTGGATTCGAGATTCGTGGAAGCGATGTGCAAATAAGTTCAAGCAGTGAGCTGGCCTTCACAAGCCCTCCTCTTTCGGCACTCGGCAAGCAGTTTTCATATAATGTGTTGGTTGAAGTTTGTGCCGAGCGATCTGAGCCGTTTCCTTTGATGTACAACGTTGCACCGTTGCTCACGATCACAGCTGCCGATAGCAGCACGAACGAAGAAACTTCTTACGTTATTCCTTACGACGGAGAGGCTACTTTTGTGGCTGAAGTATCTGAAAATAACAACGGTGCAAGTTATCTTTGGCAATTGCTATCCACTGACGGTGAGGAAATTCCTCTAGAAAACACCACCTTAACGGAACAAATCTTCACGGTTACGGCGGACATGATTAGCCCGAGCGGAACGCCATTTATCTTACAAGCTACTGTCCAAAACTCTGTTGGGTTATCGGATACTTCTCAAGTGACAATAGAGCTTGCAACTCCCGTTGTTGAGTTCATTCTCGTCAATGTATTCGAAGTGGAGGTCCTAACCCGCTCGTTGAATTCCACCACCTTAGTACAGGCGTCACTCGTGGTTGAAACCAGCAACTACACTGGTGTGGTTTTGGAATGGGTTTACCGAAATCGAAGTTATGTTGTTGACGAGAATACGCAGTTCAGAAACAGCTCAGTTGCAGGGCAGAGCGTAACAGGTCCTACCAAGTTAGGCCTCGAGTTCAACATAGCTCGCCAAGATCTTGTGATGGGTGTTTCCAGGCTAGAACTCATTGCAACCCTGATATCGAATCCAATTATCAGCGGCAGAGACGCGGTTAACATCGTCGTTATCCATTCCGAGCTTCAAGCAATTATCAACGATGGGCTAAACGGCACTCTCTTACTCTCTGGAACCGATTTGAACTTGCATGGAGGTAACTCGTTTGATCCAGACGTACTGCCCGATGAAAGTAACCCGACAACAGAAATACAGTACGATTGGTTCAGCTGTCAGAAATCTCTTGATGCATCCTTCACGAACGATGTTGAAGAC